ATAATGCACAGGCCATCGAGGGCCCACACCCCTGCCCACCGGGTGTCGGACAGCATCAAGTGTCACTGGGAGAGTGTGGGGGAGGCCTGGACACTGACCTTTGGGTCTGGCAGGGGAAGATCTGTGGACCTTGACACGGCAGGTCTGGTGTAAGATGAACAGGTAGTCAAAGGGACAGAGGTGGGTGGTTACTGCAAGTGGCTGTGCTGGCAAAGGGCATGCGCGTGTGTTCATACGTGGTGGAAGCAGAGAGGGGCAAGGCAGGAGCCAAACCCTTGAAGAGGGGAGAGGAAAGGAGGCAGCATGCAAAAGACACATGAAGGACCAGGGTCACCAGCTGACGAGGAGGAGCTGAGGGTACAGACACCACAAAGGAGGTGAGGAGGTGTGGCCCAGAGGCTGAGGAAAACTGGGGATGGTGGCACCCATGGCACCAGGGGCAGACAAGCTACCACTAAGCTGAATGCTTCTGAGAGGGACAGGCCAGGGAGAGAACGGAGGACGTGACTGTAGGACTTGACTGTCTTAGCGGATTCCACCCTTTCCTTCTACAGCCGTACCCCGTGCATACATAGGCTCATACGCTCAGCAAGGAGCACATGGGTACCTGGCAAATGTGGCCAGGCCAAGGGCAGGCGACAAGCAATTCAGATCTTGAGGATGTGAGAGGGCTGGAAAGGAGGCAGAGGGCCCAGCAGGGGGCCCCTTCAGCTCCTGGCTCCTGGCCTGGGGTGCTCCCAGCCTNTGGTTGTCTCCTGCACACCCCCAAATGGGGTCGGGGATCGAGCCTGCAACCGAGGTATATGCCCTTGACTGGAATCGAACCCCGCAACCCTTCAGTCCATGGGCTGAACCACTGAGCAAAACCAGCTAGGGCTGTCAATATATCTAAATATACATAATAGTGATCAAATGCCCGTGGCATTCTAGTTTATACATAAGATTTTATGCATTTTTATGCATAAGAACATAACCAATCTGCTACGTTTGTGTATCCGGGTTTTTGAACTGTTACATTAAACAATGTTTTTATAATAATCTTTGTAAAGATTATTACAAAGAGTAATGAAGAGTGTACCTCTTCATGTCCCTCTTTTATTTCCTTGGAATACATATTTATATATATAATATGTGGGTAAAGGATATATGTGCTTGAAGCTCTGGCACACAGTAACAGACTGGCTCGGCCAGTTGTATTCCCTGCCCCTCACCCCCCACCCTGAGGCAGGCTCTGTCATCGGTGCCAGACTGAGCAGAGTCCTGGGACATCAACATTCAGTGTCAAAGCAGAGTAGGAAAATGCTGACAGTAAACATTAAGACGGGCCTTGCTGTGTCTGGCACTGTTGGCTAACTCACTCCTCCCAGCAGCTCTCCCCCTAGGATCTGCCTTTATTCCTCCAGAAACAGCAGCAGCCACTCATGGCTTGCTCACAGACATAATGCACAGGCCATCGAGGGCCCACACCCCTGCCCACCGGGTGTCGGACAGCATCAAGTGTCACTGGGAGAGTGTGGGGGAGGCCTGGACACTGACCTTTGGGTCTGGCAGGGGAAGATCTGTGGACCTTGACACGGCAGGTCTGGTGTAAGATGAACAGGTAGTCAAAGGGACAGAGGTGGGTGGTTACTGCAAGTGGCTGTGCTGGCAAAGGGCATGCGCGTGTGTTCATACGTGGTGGAAGCAGAGAGGGGCAAGGCAGGAGCCAAACCCTTGAAGAGGGGAGAGGAAAGGAGGCAGCATGCAAAAGACACATGAAGGACCAGGGTCACCAGCTGACGAGGAGGAGCTGAGGGTACAGACACCACAAAGGAGGTGAGGAGGTGTGGCCCAGAGGCTGAGGAAAACTGGGGATGGTGGCACCCATGGCACCAGGGGCAGACAAGCTACCACTAAGCTGAATGCTTCTGAGAGGGACAGGCCAGGGAGAGAACGGAGGACGTGACTGTAGGACTTGACTGTCTTAGCGGATTCCACCCTTTCCTTCTACAGCCATACCCCGTGCATACATAGGCTCATACGCTCAGCAAGGAGCACATGGGTACCTGGCAAATGTGGCCAGGCCAAGGGCAGGTGACAAGCAATTCAGATCTTGAGGATGTGAGAGGGCTGGAAAGGAGGCAGAGGGCCCAGCAGGGGGCCCCTTCAGCTCCTGGCTCCTGGCCTGGGGTGCTCCCAGCCTATCCTCCACATGTGCCCAAAGAATGCTGGTCAGCCCCAGCTCTGGTTTACATAACCAGCCTTGCCCTGGACCACAGCTGGGGCACGCCAGTTATGTGAAAGGAGCCATTTCCTCCAGCTCCTCTTCAAACCCGGAGCAGACTTGCAGTCCGCTGTGACCAGTCACTGACGTGCAACCAACGCAGACACCTGGAGGCTAAATGGTTTTAACCTTCCTCCATGGAAAGGGGAACACAGCAAAGATCAAAACAGCACAGGACATAGGCTTACAGAATTGGGTCAAGCACCACAGGATTAAAAATGCTGAGCTGCAATTCAACAAAACACACCAAAACCAGACAGCAGCTGGGCAGGGTGGGCAAGGAAGCTGGTGCTGAGAGGAACGGCAAAGCTTCAGAGAGTTGACAAGGAGGTCATTAAGTCTTGTGACTTCTTAAGATGCACATGTTTCTCTGACAAGCACCTGGGAGGTACATTAACTCAGAATCTATCGAATGTCTGTGTTGGGAATCTGGGTTAATACATGAAACAGCTTGAGGCGGGCTCCCTGTGGCCCTTATTGCAGCCATAGGTGAAAAAAGCATCCTCGAGTATTCTTAAGGCTTTGGCAGTCCCTTGTAATGTAAAACACATGGGGGAATAACCTAGAACTGGGCTGGAGAGGACTAAGGCATGTGAGCTGCAGAAGGAACCTCTGAGGTCTTGATTTACAGGAAGAAACTGAGGCCACAGAAAGTCAGTCCTGCAGGCTCAGAACCCTGAGGTCCATCAGAGAGGATGTGGACCTCAGGGAGTTGGGGGACACAGCAAGCAGCACACAGAACACAACCTTCTGCACAGCGGCACAGAGGCACACACGCTCCTGCACACATGCTCACTCACATTCATGCACACATACTCGTGCACTCATGCATACACAGTCCTACACCTGTATATACGCACAGACACTCTCCTGCACCCACACACATACACACACACTCTGGCATACCCACACACATACTGCTAAACCCTTGCACACACAGCAGGACTGTCAGCAGGGCCAGGCCAGTGTGTGGTGCTTAGCACGGGACCATGCTCGTGGCTGGTGCTCACTCACAGGGAACCAGTAAAGGAGCTGACAACAGACCCAGCTCTTCAGATTCCCCACCCAACATTCTTTACAAAATAGCAGGATGAAGATCTACAGGGATAAAAATTGGGAACACTTAGGGGAAATTAGTTCTAAGGGTTCCCATGCTCATTCAAAAATTCAGAGGAAAGAGCCATGGAGAACGTTTCTGCCTCGGCGTCAACTTGCTCCTGCAAACGCAGACCAGCTTCTTCAAATGCCAAGTCAGTGCAACGTGACTTCTCAAGAGCCAACGAGGCAAGAGGGTCCAACATTATCACTGCATTAACTGCCTTTCTTTTCTTTTTATTCTTTTTTC